GTCAAAGTTAGGGATTATGCTAATCTACTATTGCACCATTTGTTTTAGCTCATTATCTGCAAAACGGATTGAGTTTTACAGATAAACTGATTTGAGTTATAGCCATTTTGGTGTTGTTTAAGGTCAGTTCTTTGTTGCAGCCACAAAGTATTTGGTTTACTCCAAAAGTTAATCAGTTGTGAAGTTCATCCAATAATTACTTTCTGGAAATGTCATTAAAATCCCCTCAGTAGGTCATGAATATTTTGGTAATGAAAAATCAGATGAAAAGGTTTGAATACAGATATTGTGCAATTATTTTATGCTTACAGTGCGTGCTGGGAATTAGTTTCAGCTACCACCATAACAACTTTAGCTAAATATTTTTAAAATTGACCGGGTTGCGGCTATTTTTGGGTTGGCTAAGATTGCTTTTCTGTGGTGGCTATCTTGAATAGGATTGACTCTATACTTTGATCAGTTGTAGATGCCAATCTACCCGCCACTTTCTAATCGTTCCATTTCAATCTGTTCAGTCATTCATGAGGTATCTTGCTAAAACACACACACACAGAGACAAGGGTGAAAACACTACCGCTCTGATTTCTTTGCTGAGTGATAAAAATATATTCAAGGATTGAAAACAGTCTAGCCGAAAGAAAAAAATACTGATAGTAATAGGTGTAAGAGAAAAGCACAAGCAGAGTGGGGTGGGGGGTGGGGATGGGAACAAGTTGCCTCATTGCACAAAAACAACAGAGTGACTGAAAGAAAGGAGGGAGCAAAGCTGTGCCTGCCTCCTTCCTCATTCACTCAGTGAGTCAGACACACAGTTCAGCTCAGACTTCACAATCCCATTTCTACTGCTCGTTTCCTTGTCCGTCGGAGGAGAAACCACAGTAAGTTCTGTGTTCAGGAGCATTTCTGTGTCTGGTACTGCTCTACCTCGGCTGCCTTTCTTTCTGATGCTACATGTCTGACTTGGTTTACTTAGGGTGGGACAGCAGAGATACACAGTTCTTCTTGCTTTTCAGTAATCTGAGCCTTTATAAGAAGCGGCTGAGAGCTGTACTTTATTTGTTAGATTTCCTGTAGCTGTCTATTATGGTTTATGTTAGTTCATAAGTTCTTTACAGGAGAAATATGTGTGATTTTTTTAAATGTACTTTTCCTGTTTCATTATTGTGTGAACAGTTTTTCATATTGGTGTTTTCCTCCTTCCAGTTTCTATAATACTTTATTTTAAAAAATACTTCCACAAACATGGCTCCATTTCAATTATCATCAAAAAGTTTGGCTCGACTAAAAATAGTTGTAACCTGTTGCCGCTTTGCCATTGGTACGTACGATTTTACTCGTCGCCTTGGTTCTTCTCAGGTGAGGATGATTTGCCTCTACAGTGGAGGCTGACCTGTTTCCTATCTCTGTGGGCAGGATCATAACTGGTCTTTTCTCTGTTTGAGCCACTCCATCCGTTGTGGTCCTTAATTGCCAAATAATCAGAGAATTGAGTTAGGGGAGGACCCCTGAGGGAGGAGCCCTGGGGGAGGACCCCAGGGGTTCTCCCCCACTCACTCAGAACATTTTGAATAAAGTAGATGCTATTTCTTGCATTCTAGTGTATTTTAACAGGTTGTTAAACATCTACGTTTACTTACATAAGTAAACACTTGATTCAATAACTATTTACCAACAGCTCTCCTAGTGTGAATATAGCATGCTCCACTTCACTCGTGTCGTAACCCCCCTCCCCCCCGCTCCAACAACTGCTGGCACTAATATGGCGCTAAGCTAAAGGCGCACAATGCAGACATGCTAGCTAAGATGCTACAGACGTAATGCTCCACTTCTGTCATGCATCCTTACCCCCACCTCACACCGGTCAACAACTGCCGGCATTAACGTAGTGCTAAGCTAGTGCGCAACACAGAGGTGTCTCCCCCTCCTCCCCCCGCCTTGTCCACAAAAGTCCCTGAAAAAATGAGCTCCCTGCCAAGCCAAGAGACCTCAGCGAAACACTGCATACAATGTCAATGTCAATTTATTTAAATAGCATATAAAAATAACAAAAGCTGACCAAAGTGCTTTACAGTTAAGACGGATAAAAAGAGTAAAACATGCATCTAGTGCCACTCAAAAACATAAGAAAGTTAACAGTAAATACAACACACAACAACAATAAAAATCAGCTTGAAATTTGTTCTCAGACTCTGCATGGACCAAATGCCAAGGAATGAGTGTTGAGCAAATATTTAAAAGGCTCATCAGTCTGAGCGGTCTTTAAATTCTCGGGTAAACTGTTCCACAGTTTTGGAGCAGCAACCGCAAAAGCCCGATCACCTCTGGACTTCCGTTTGGATCTGGGGACATCTAAGAGGAACTGGTTGGTAGACCTGAGTGCTCTTACTGGAGTGTAGATGTTAATAAGATCACATAAATATGACGGGGCCAGACCTTTTAAGACTTTAAAAACAAGCAATAGAATCTTAAAATCAATCTGGAAGTGAACAGGAAGCCAGTGAAGAGAAGCCAAGACAGGGGTTATGTGTTCATGTTTTTTAGTTGCTGTTAAAAGACGAGCTGCTGCGTTCTGGACACATTGTAAGTGATGCAGAGATGATTGGTCTAAACCAACATACAATGAATTACCATAGTCCAAACGAGAGCTAATAAAAGCATGAATCACCTTTTCAAGGTCTCTGAAAGGGAGACAAGGCTTCACCTTGGCAATGAGTCTTAGTTGGAAGAAGCTGGATTTCACAGCTGCATTTATCAGTTTGTCTAATTTAAAAGCACTGTTGAAAATAATTCCCAGATTCCTGACATTGGAGTGGCTGTATGAAGTGTGGTGAGTTGTAGGTAACCAGGAAAACCCAGAGTGGATTTTTAGTGGTTTGGACATTGTCTTATTAAGCAAGTGGAACTGATTCATTCACAAAGCAATAGAAACAGGGTGAACTAATATTTCATGGTAAGTGTGTGTGTTTTCCTAATTAATAATTTTTAAATATAATTGATGCGACGCATATGCTGTCACTGCTTATAAGTCCAGGTGTAGCCATGCTGTGCCATCATCTCCGATATTTCTCTGTAAATGTGCTCATTTATTGTGGTGCTATCTGTCAACAAGAGGAAGGGGAGGTTCAGATGTAGTTTTCAGTTTTGCTGGATCATCCAGGGATGTAGTTTTGCTGGCCAGTCAATGGCAGCAATCTGCTTAAGTCAAAATTGTCACCTCAGAGCAGCCTGCTTGGAACCATGAACAAAGTGGTCCTCGCCCAAAGTGGGAGGCTGTGGCTGAGCAGTTAGAGCAGTCGTCCTCCAACGCAAGAGTTGGGGGTTCGAATCCACCAGCAGTCACATACCAAAGTGTCTCTGGGCAAGACACTGAACCCCTCATTGCCTCTGATGTGTGTCCCATCGGTGTATGAATGTGATAAAGCACTGATTAGTCTCTTTAGAATGATTTGTTCAGTTAGCTTAGTAGAGATCTAGAGTGCTGTATGAATGGGTAAATGAGGGCACAGATTGTAGAGTAAAGTGCTTTGAGTGTCTTGATAAGATAGAGAGGCGCTTTATAAGTACAAAGTACAGTCCATAAACCGGGCTGAGTGAGGCGGATGTCGACAGTGTGTAGACCCTTAACTAGTGTCATTTTGTGCGGCGCAGATGAGAGTTGAGACAGTGTCAAAGCGCCATACATTTGCAACTTTTAGTATTTATAACTTTTAGACTTCTTAAATTGTTTAACTTTCTTTACACGTTTCCTAATAAAATATAGTGATATCTCACTTCCTTTAAAAATGTTTTCTGAAATCTACTTCAGCATGGTGTTCTATTTTTGTAATCATGTGCTAATTTGACCTTTTAGCTACTGTCTTGCTAGTTTTAGCTTTCAGTTACAGTTTAGAAATTTTAATCTGCAGTTACAGTTAAGCTAATATACATCTTTTTGTGAAGGGTTTTGCTGTTTTGGATTTTAACTTCTATTTTGCTCATTGTAGCTACCCAATAACATCCCCTAACATCTGTAGCACACACAGCTTTCTGGCATTTTTACAGACAGTTTAATAGTCAAACCCCCAAGTGCAGATATTTGGGCATTCTGTTAATGGCGGCCGTTACACCTGTAAATCACAAGGTCATATGACCAGTGCGTCCTCTAGTGTTTTATATAACTCTGTGAGCGAGCTAAGGACTGTTGTTGTTATTAATAGTGTAGTATATAAGATGCTTTGCTATGCAGCTAAATTCATGTGATAGTTTATATTAGGATATAATAGTATCTATTCATTTTAATAAGATTATTGGAAGTCACTTTTTTCTTTCCTTGTTTGCGGCACCCCTGGATGGACGGCACCCTTAGTATTTGCCTATACTGCCTATGCCACGGATCATTTCTGGTACAAGTGGTACAAACTCATCTTGTTTTTTCAAAGTAATTGTGTTGTCAGTCATGTGTCATACAGTCACCTGATGTTCCTGAGCTGTTAAACAGTGTGCAGCTAATCTGTTAACACTGTAAAATGATCTCAGTAGGTATGTGCCTCAATGCATGGACAAAGCAAATCACCCAAAGACATCTGAGACACTTCTTATAGTTCAGCTGCAACAGCTTCATTATCATAGACGACAAACTGCAGCTTCAATTAGCTGCTATCCAAACCTTTCTCTCTGCTAGTTGGTTCAGTGGTAGATTATGAAGCAGTGGTGTCCCTATTCTTCAACACTGTCAACAATAAAATTACATTCACATTGCTGATATTAACAGCAAAGGCGACATAATGTAGAGTTTGAATGTAGAGTTTGAATGTTTACAAAGATAAAGTCTTAAAATAGTTCCACTATAAATGAGGATTTGGCTTATACGAGTGTCTAACAGCTGAAATCTTCTTTGTCACTATTACACAGGGTTGTGAAATGCTCAGTTGTGCAGCAGGAAGAACTCAGTTTCACTGTTCAGGACGGCAGCCCCTCACAGACCTCACCCACTTTCCCAGAAACCAGTCTCCTCATCAACGTTCCTGTTGTGCTCTCGGCTTCAAACTCGCACCCCGTCTGAGCTGGAGTACAGTCAGTCCAAAGGAGCACTGTGCTTCATTAACCCTCTGTTCATAAAGGTCCACCAGCCAGACGGTGGCAAGCAGCACATCTCTTTCAACACCTCTGAGACAGCAAAACCAGGCCTGAGGGAAAAGTCCGACATAAAAACCACCAACACTGAAGATCAGGACTCAGGTTCTGAATATCTTCAGGTCTGTAGGTCAGACCGGTGTGACAAAGCCCAGTCAGCTCAAAGACATATACAGAGCCTTTGTGGAAGCTCTTCTGATAATGCACAAACTAGTAGCAACCAGAGACTAAGTGCTGGAGAAAGTGTGACACAGTTCCTACCATCTCCTCCATTTCTGCTTCAACTTCACTCTCAGTGCTCTGCACCACCTGTCCAACAGCAAAACATGCCTGTAAAAGTTGCCTGGATCAACGATCCCAAAGAGGAGGAGGACAAGCAGAGCAAACCTCTTTCTAGTCTTGGATCCTCATTTAGTACCAGCCTCTCAACATCACTATCCAGGACATGTAGCATCAGCGCCCTCCCATCCATTCCCCAGCAACCCATGCCCCTCTCTTTGACATCTCTGTCTTCTTCTCCACGCCAATCCAAAGTCTCATTATCATCAGCCAGTTATGAGGATGCTCAATGCTATTTGGCCTTAGAGGACAAGCCAAATGAGGTTGCCATTCGTAGGACCAATTTGTCAAGGCAAAATGTAGTTAGATCCTCAATACAAGACTCATACAGCCCCTCAAAAGCTTCCCTAACACCTGTAGACAAGCATACAGAAAACTTAACTGTGGGAGAAGTTTTGGAAGGATGTAGTGTGTCCAGCCAGTGGATGAGTGACATGAGCCTCTCCACAGATTCCTCAGATTCCCTGGATATTTTGCAGAGTTCAGCCTACTTTATCCCTCCTCTGCATGATTCCAGCCCCCCCACTATGGATGACTTCAACAACCAGCTCCCTCTTTCCCTCCCGCCATCTCACCTGTGTTTCAGCAGCATCAACCTCGATGATGACAATGATGACGAGGACGAAGAAGTGTCCATCTTTGGCATCAGCCTTGAGAGCGATCAGGAACAAGACCAGGACCAGGACCTTACCATCCTACCACCAGGTTGCAGCACAAGAAGACGTTCAAGTGCCAGCACAGTGGTCATCCAGAAGGCCCTGCGAGGAAACCTTCGCAAAATGAGCAGTGTTTTTAACTCTCTCCTGACACCAGAGAAGAGAGCAGTCCGCAAAGTGCGTGAGCTGTCCAAGGATAAAAGCACGTACTTTGGCTCCCTGGTTCAGGAGTATATCAGCTACATGAGTGAGGGTGCTGGCACCCAGGCGTGGCAGAGCTATACCTCTGGTCTGGAGCTGTTGCAGACTGTACGTCAGTTTATCACTCAGATGAAGAGCTATCTGCGGCAGAGCTCAGAGATGGAGCCATCGATCGAGAGCCTCGTCCCCGAAGACCAGATTGGTAAGTTTGAAATGAAAAAGTTCTTCTCTGTAGTTCTAGCTATGCGTTATTTTGTTACTTCACTGGTTTTACCAGCTCTGGCACACATGTTGGAAATCATCTTCTTGCCTCACTCTGAAAGTCTGAGTCAACAAGAAAATAATTACAGTCATTTGGGGGAAAAGTTTTTTTTTTATTCTTGAGAGATTTCCACTGACGTTGCAGCTCTGTTCAGTTCCAAATGCTCCATATTTTAAACACTATGACCTCACAGTCAACTCAGAATGTAGCATGACTCATTCACGTGTGATAGCGTGAAGTGGATGTCATGTAAAATCATATTGTGGAAATGTATTTAATGCCCATCTAGCAGTTTCACTTCCGCATTGTAGCATTGGAAAACTACATTTAAGCAGCTGAATGCAGACATTAATCATAACTGTTGGGTCACGTACCGCTGATATACAGAAACAAAGTGCAAATCGTACGACTGCATTTCTTTGTGTGTGTGCTGCTAGAGCTTACAATTTGCTCAAAGAGGCCTTAGAAAAGAAAGCACACACAGCCACACACACACACACACCTGCCGGAAGAGAAGTCTGAGTCATTTAGGCCAAGACTGAGTGAATGGACAGAGTAACATGTAAACATAAGCACAAAGAGGGATCTATCTCAGGACTACACCAACCTGTTTTACTGACCTAGCTTAAAGCTAAAAGTAGCATAATACTTACTTAATAAAAGATGAACTAAAAGTAGCAAAAAGTCTGGCTAAAAGTATCAGAAAATTAGTTAAAGCTTTAAAAAGGGCTACTAAGAAGCATTTTTTTTCTTCTTTCAGCTAAAAATTAGATCCTTTTACTTGTTAAGCATGACTTTTAGCTACTTTTCTTTAAAAGTTAGTGTTTTGTTACCTTAGCAAGCATTTTGCTATCTTTGGTTTTCAGCTAGTGTTCTGCTTCTTCCTGCTTTAACAACTCAATTACAGCAAATTTACATTTTTTGGAAAACCTACTTCTTCAGTTCAATTAATTGATATAAGTATCAAATTATTCTGGATCAAGGGAAGCACCGCTCTCAGGTCAGAACAAACCAAACTGTGATTTTCCCCCTCAAAGATTTCAAGAATATTATGTTTTCTGAAATGATAAAGAAAATAAATAAAACCCCAATTCTTGTGGGTTTCATGTCAGGAACAAGGTTAAAGGGTTAGAATGTGAGTTTTAGTTTAATTACAATAAAAGCTGTCTGTTAAATCATTTGAGGACTCAATAACATATTTTCATATTTTATAAAACAACCCAGTGAACAGAATTAAATCACAGTTCCCACTCATCACACTGGCATGTGGCATACTTTCATGCCCGAGTTGTGAATGACCTCATTTCCATGGGACTGACTCGCAGAGAAATGCCGCGGGTTAAATTCTGGTAAGTGTTGCACAAGTTGTCAGTTTCAAAGAGCTTTGTCTGTTCAGCTCAAAAGCCTGCTGGCCCAGATTCATCTGGATGGCTGTCGGTCACATTTTTCAATGTTGTACTCCAACTTCAGTTTTTTTTCTCTATCCAATCAGTGAGTGAGAATCAGCGGCAGGTCCCCCCGTAGCATTCTGCTTCACAGGGGTCTCTGTTTCAGGGACGTGCACAGACTTCAGGTGGTGCTGGACCACCTGCCTTTTGCCCTCTGGACCAGGCATGAGCACCTTTATACCTATTTTTTTTACAATGTACAGTATGTGGCCTATGGTGGTATATCTGGATTAAAAAGCATACAATATACTACCAAAATACACAATATGCCTGACCGCACAGGCCTGCAGCAGTCCTGTGTCATGCCTCTCTCAACGTGAACACACTGCATGCAAGGCAGTTAGACACAGAGGCGAGATGCAGGAGCGAAACTTCAACAATATTCTCCTCTGCTCTTCTGCTCACCAGAGCCCTGGTGACGGCTAACCAGCAGCTAGCAAACAAAACGAGTGGATGTCCCTCAACCTCAGATGCTGAAGTTCTAACTTCACCTGCATCAATTTTATGAAGAAAGTCTAGTCCTGCGCCGTTAAACCTTTATTATCATATACAACAGGTGTATAATGATAACAATAATAATAATGGTCAATGGACTGTACTTATACAGCACCTTTCTATCTTATAAAGACACTCAAGGCTCTTTAAATGACAATCTGTGCCCTTCATAAGCACTCTACTAGAGCTATACAAAGAATAATCAGTGCTTTATATCACATTCATAAATCGATGAGACACACATTGGAGGCAATGAGGGGTTCAGTGTCTTGCCCAGGGACACTTCAGCATATGACTGCTGGTGGGATTGAACCCCCAACTCTTGCATTGGAGGACGACTGCTCTAACCACTCAGCCACAGCCGCCACATTGTATGTAAAAGTCTGGGGAAGCAACACTCTGCTCTCCTAGATCAAACTAGCAGCAGCTACAGAGGACTGTTTATTGTTATATTCAGATCAATACAAGGTCAAGTATGCAATGAAATGCTCAGGATGGGAAGAACCGTCTCAACTCGACAAAAAACAAACAAACAAACAAACAAATACCAAATCATGCAACAAAAGTACATAACAAAGCACCACAAAGTGAAAAAGAAAAACAACATCTACAAGGTCCAAATAAACATCATTAACATGCTTAGAATACAACGGTGCTAGTAGATTAATCAGGAGAGAATTAGTAAAGATGAAGAGGAGAAAGATGATGAAGACATGTCAGAGTCAACACCAGAGTCATTTTAAGGGACAAACTACAGTATCTATAATGAGCTCTTTCATCCCCACACTTGTTTTTATCAATGAGATAGTTTGTGTGTAAACTTGAATTTTAAATGGTTATTTTATTAACACTAAAGAATACACAATGTGTTGTTGTTGTTCTTTGTTCTATTATTGCCAGTTTGATAGTTACAGAAACCACTCTGTTGAGTGCTGAATAGTAATAAACATCTGCATCAGACAGTATATGGTTATTGATTAGAACTAGTTATTCCCAATGTAAAAGATGTGCCTGTAATAAATCTCTCACTACTAATGCAGCCAGTGTTTCCATGAGACACACAAAGGGCCCTTTTTTCTAATTGAGCACCTGCCTCACAAAAATGTCTGTGCACGCCCCTGCTTAAAGTAGAGAGGAAGTTTATATCATGTGGATAGTCCCATGGCACAAGGTATTTGTATTTGATTGCCTGTGCTGGATATCTGTGAAAGTCTTCCTTGAACAGATTCTGCATGTTTTCGTTGTTCCTGATTCTTCAGTTCAATTTCAATTCAGTTTCAATTCAGTTTATTTATAGAGCGCCAAGTCACAACAGAAGTCATCTCAGGGCACTGATTCACAGTTCAAGGAAAAACAAGAGTCCTAGACCATACGGTACGCGCAACAGAATCAGTGCAGCAAATGTCTGACGGAGAACTAAACATGCCAGTACCTCTCACAGCACAAGAGCTGTACTGTGAGTTTGTAACAGGACCTGAGTAACCAGAGACCTGAGAACAAGTCCCAACTTACTGTCCAGAAACTACAGCTCCCCCAGTAGACTAGCACTGCTGTGCTATCCTTTAAATCCTGGACATTGGAAGATCCATGAATCAGACTTGTTTGTAAAACACATTCTACATATAATAATACTTTACAAAGTAAAGTTATTAATCTTGAGAAATTGGTAGCAAAATCCTTCATTTTGGTTTCCCAACATTTTCTAGCTAAAATTCATCCAATTATTGCTACGATTGACCTTTCTGCTTGCCATAGTCCATTTTCATATTAGGTTTCAGCAAGCTAAGAAACCTGTAGAAGCTAACCTCTCCACGTGATATTAAAAAGAAGTGACTGGTCAGGACAGGCCACCTTCATGTACACACACAGACATCTACACCTCCAGATGCAGGAAGAGGGCCACCTGTGGGGGAGTGGTGGCACAGAGGTTAGAAAATGGGCCTGTGATCGGAAAGTCATAGGTTCAACTCCTGGTACCGTCAACATTCAAATGTGGGTGGAAAAGGTGGAACATCCACACCTGCCTCTACCCTCATTCGCCCCACTCTGGGTCCCTGAGCAAGGCCCTTAACTCCCACCATCTGTTCCCAAAACAGGTCTCTCTATAAAATGAGTTCTCGTGGCTTAATGAGACTACCTGGATAAATAAAGGGTAAATAAAAAAAATGCATCATGAAGGACCCCACTCACCCAGCACATACAGTTTTTGACCCGCTCCATTCAGGAAGGAGGTCAAGGAGCATTAAGTGTAGAACCACTAGGTACACCCTGAGGCTGTTAGACTCATGAATCTCTAACCAGATTAATCACTGTGAAAAATCACATCATGTTGCTGCTGATCTGTTTCATGTTGCTGCTGATCTGTTTCATGTTGCTGTGTTTATTCGTGCTCATCTGCTCACACAGACTCATGTTCGTGCTGCTGTTCGACATATTGTTTTTATGCTAGAAGTGCTTAGTGTATATTTAGTTAATGTTTTTTTAGTTCATATCTTAGATCTTATTACTGTTTATCTTTTACATTTTATTGTTTGATGTAACTTGGACCCTGTTTACACAATTTCGTTCCACCACATGTATCACATGAGGTGCGAATGACAATAAATAATCTCTGAATCTCTCTGAATGTATGTCTCTGTGGTCCAGTTGGAGGTGATTCTATCCCTGGACAAAATCAATGAAGTGTGTGGGCATCATTCTTTTAAAACCAGCTGTAATTTGATCTGCTGTATGAGCCATGGTAGATATTTTATTAGAACAGGCAACACAGGTCATATTTCTGTCCAATACATTAGTCTGCCTTGCCAAATTGTTCAGCAGTACTTCAGTGTGGACCACTTCGTGTAGGCCCTGATCGTTGAAGACTGGGGATATCCTGATGCATGCTCAATAATCCAGGTAGAAGACTGGGGATAGTTTCAGTTGGAGAGTTGCTCCTTGTCAAAACTTATTCTTATTTATTTATTCTGCTTTTCAAACAGCAACTTCAGGGAAAGAACGTACTCCGGGTGTTTTCATAACGAGACAGTCAAACTGCACGCACATCGCTCATCAGCAATCTTGTGTTGTGGATTTCCTAGAAAACATTTTGTCCTCTTTCCCTAACTGTAAAAGTGTCAGGAGTTATTGGTGCAGATTTACTGTCATGAAACTGTTTGTTCCGCCTCTCCCTAGAGATATTTGTCAGTAGTGTTTGATTGTGAGAAGTTTCCAGTAACATTTTAGCTATGCTGGCTAAAAGAGAATGATAGGAGGAAGGTTGTTTCCAGTAAAACAAGAGACTGTAGCCAAGAGATGGCTATAGTCTCACCCTGGAATATTTCCTTTATCTGACTGACAGTTTTAGCTACAATAAATCAAGTCACTGTTTCTTTATCAGTGCCAGCAAGCAGCATGGCAGAAAAAACAGTTGCAGAGTCACCCACTGATAAGTTTCAATCACCGCGGAGCAATAAGGAAGTGAGTGCGCTGCAGGTAAATGGGTGCCACAAGCCTTGTTTTCCTGCAGTGTCAGCTCCACATTCAGCAGAAACATCAGATGTGGAAAAACTCTCCTCTGTGGGGAAAGGGAGGGGTGCCTTAGCTTTGCAGATGGCAGACACTGAATGTCAGCTGATGTGCAAAGTAGACGTCTGCAGATGTGCTCAGCTAAAATAACTGCTGACCTCTGTTTTCTGGAGGATCCAGCAGCGCCGGCAGTGCTCCAGATTCAGCACTGCTGTGGTTTGGTTCCCCTCCAATGATCTCATAGTGTGCTGGATTGCTAGAACTGAGCTCATGAAGGCTAATGTTGACTCTGTTGCTGTGTGGAGACGCTTCTGTCTGCGCAGCAACTATACGCTCATGCGAATGGACTCCAACGTGCACAACCAGTGAATTGTACATATCTGACTTTGATGCACTGCTGGCAGCTTTTGGCTGAACTTATTTTTTGCCCGAATGCTGAGCAGAACTCCTCCCAAAGCGATGACCACTTCTCCCAGCAGCCTACCAAGCTCCTCGTCACTTCGTACAGCCAGTTGCAGGTGTTGGGGGTTGATCCCTCCTTCTGCTGTCACTAGCCACGTTTCCTGCCATTTTCAGGATCTCAGTGGCCAGGCACTCGAGCACGGCTGGCAAGGAGATGGGAATGCATCTACGGCATCTCCTTTTCAACTCATTTGAGATTTGGGGCTCTAGCTGAGATATTATTTTAGCTTTTGAGATGTTAATCAGCTGCTCCCACTTGTAAAAAACATCTTGTTGTTATGGTTACGCATCATAACACATGTCCAAAACTAAAAAAAGTTTTCATAAAAATCCTTCCAGCTGCACAGCATCCAACACTAGAGGAAACAATCATCCAAAAAAAGTAATTTACATCCAGAAAAAGAGGAATTAAAGTTTCCATAAGCAAAATCTCAGAATGAATGTAACAGAGCTGACTTCATTCTGTTGTTAGCTTTGTTCTTCTCATCTACCTGCACTCGTCTTGAGCGCCTCAAGTGGTGGTGAGTTTAAAACATGCCGAATCGTTGTTTTGTAATCAAAACAAGGCTTTTATCGAGGCTTTGAGAAAATTTGTAGGTTATTTATATCTGTCCCAGCTAGCAGAACCTAACGGGGTCATAAACAGAGAGCATTAAAGAAAAACAACTCACATCTGGGAACATGTCAGAAAATTAATATGTGGACCAGCTCTAATTAAAGCATAAAGTCCCATTAAAAAACACTGTAATTATATTAATATTTGTGATTATAATGAGGGAAAATAAGCATATTTTCTGTTTAATAGCAATTATTACAGACCTGCTACACATCAGCTGATTATTAACTACATGGCAGGTGTTTACAGATGTTTTAAGTTATGTGGGGAAACAACCAGCAGGCATTAAAGTTTGAACAGGAGTGTTTTTATTAACAGTCCCGTGGTATCTGCATCAGTATAAATGTTAGAGCGATGGTCCCATTGTTCCTAAGGGGCTGTATAAATACAATGTGTATTATGATTATATTTGGAAATTAAAACAGAATTTGATCATCTACATGTGGAGCACTGACTGCCTTAGGATTCAGTTTCTCTTCATTTAACATTCTGTTCAGATAAAATTTATAAAAAACAGCACATAGAGCTATAATGGCGTATATGGGTGTTGTTTCACTCAGATTTTAATATTTGAGATCTTATTAAGTAGCACAGTGGCTCAGCTGGTAGAGCTACCGCCTCTCAGCGAGTCAAAGTCAGAGTTTCTTTATTGTCATTTGCACCTCATGTGGTACATGTGGTGGAACAAAACTATGTACACAGGGTCCCAGTTACATCCAACAATAAAATCCATCCATCCATCCATCCATTATCTTTACCTGTTTATTCCATTTTGGGTCACGGGGGTCGCCGGTGCCCATGTCCAGCAATCACTGTGCGAGGGGCAGGGTACACACTGGACGGGTCGCAAGTCCATCACAGGGCCACACAGAGACAAACGAGACAAACAACCATTCACTCTCTCATTCACACCTAGGGACAATTTAGAGTTACCAATCAGACATGCATGTTTTTGGTCTGTGGGAGGAAACCGGAGTACCCGGAGAAAACCCACGCATGCACGGAGATAACATGCAAACTCCACCCAGAAAGGCCCCTGGACCGGGGTTTGAACCAAGGACCTGCTCGCTGAGAGGCAGCAGCTCTACCAGTTGCGCCACCGTGCTGCCCCAACAATAAAATGTATAAGAAAAACAGTAATAACATCTAAGATATGAACTAAGAAAAAACATAAACTAAAAATACACTAAGCACTCATAACATAAAAACATTACGTCGAACAGCAGCACAAACATGAGTCTGTGTGAGCAGATGAGCACGCATGAACACATCAACATGAAACAGATCAGCAGCAACATGAAACAGATCAGCAGCACCATGAAACAGATCAGCAGCAACATGAAACAGATCAGCAGTACCATGAAACAGATCAGCAGCAACATGATGTGATTTTTCACAGTGATTATTCTGGTTAGAGATTCATGAATCTAACAGCCTCAGGGTAGAAGTTGTTCCTCAGTCTAGTATTTCTACACTTAATGCTTCTCAACCTCCTTCCTGAGGGGAGCGGGGCAAAAAGTGTGTGTGTGCTGGGTGAGTGGGGTCCTTCATGATGCAGGTTGCCCTCTTCCTGCATCTGGAGGTGTAGATGTCTGTGATGGTGGGGAGGCTGACTCCAACGGTCTTCAGTGCAGCCTTCACCACTCTCTGCAAAGCTTTTCATTCTGCAGCTGTGCAGACTCCATGTCATACGTTGATGCTGGAGCACAGGATGCTCTACACTGCACACCTCTCAGAGAGAAGGTTGCTGGTTCAAATCTCATCTGGCGAGCTTTCTAGGTGGAGTTTGCATGTTCTCTCCATGCATGCGTGGGTTTTCTCCGGGTACTCCGGTTTCCTCCAACAGACCAAAAACATGCATGTTAGACTGATTAGTAACTCTAAATTGTCCCTAGGTGTGAGTGAATGGTTGTTTGTCTCATTTGCCTCTATGTGTCCCTTTGGTGGACTGGAGACCTGTCCAGGGTGTCCCTGTGATGGACTGGAGACCTGTCCAGGGTGTTCCCCATCTCTCACTCAGTGACAACTGGATATGGGCACCAGTGACGCCCATAACTTGAAAAGGAAGAAGTGGGTAAAGATGATGGATGGATGAATGGATGGATGGATGATTGATGGATGGTTTCTGTCATCTTAAATATGTGAGCTACAAGAATGAATTGTTTGTAAAATCTAGAGCAGAGCAGGTAAATTAAGTTTTTCTACCATCCATCCATTTTCTCTTCCCTGCTTCTCCTTTCTGGGTTGCAGGGAGCTGCTGTCTATCTTCAGCAGTCTTTGTGTGAGAGACAGGGGACACCCTGGACAGATCTCCAGTCCATCACAATGACACGTAGGGACAAATGAGACAAACAACCCTTCACTGTCTCACATTCACCTAGCCGACAAGTTATAGTTACCAACAAACCAAACACACGTTGTTAGTCGTAGTACCTGAAAGAATCCTATATGTGCACTGTGAGAACATGCAAACTTCACACAGAAAGACCCCCGGTCCAAACCAGGGATTGAACCCAGAATCTGTTTGCTGTGATGCAACAGTGCTAACCACTAAACCATTGTGCTGTGGTTGTGGTTTGTTCAACATGTTTTGTTAATGGACAGGCGAATGTGTGCAGACCACACTGAAATGACAATTTATGGTAAATGTACTGTACTTATATAGTGCCTTTCTATCTTATTAAGATACTCAAAGCTCTTTACACTACATCAAAGTTCATGCTCAGTAATCCAGGTAGATAATCCAACAAAGTTCATTCAGGTCATCTGGATGGTTTCTTATAAAACGGTTTCGCTTTACAACACAACCTGTGCCCTCATTTACCCATTCATACAGCACTCTACTAGATCTACTGTATACATGATTAATCAGAGCTTTATCACTTTCATGCACTGATGGGACACACATTGGAGGCAATGAGGGGTTCAGTGTCTTGCCGAGGGACACTTCAGCATGTGACTGCTGATGGAATAGAACCCCAACTCTTTCATTGGAGGACGACTGCTCTAACCACTCAACCACAGCCACCCCCTTTATGGTCTCCAAATGTTTAAAATATAGTTTGTAGCCAAATCATACTAGTAGTAGTTTATTAATTAGTAGTTACTACATTAATCAATTCCTTATTTGTAAGCTATAATCATGAAAAGTACAATCAATAATGGCTTGAAATAGTTCACTCTATGTGTAATGGATCTATGTAATACATGAGCTTCACTTTCTGAAATAATTAATAAAAAATATGGAACTTTTTCATGATATTATAATTTTTGAGATGCTCCTGTAAATGATGTGACCTGAATTGTTGCCATATGTTAACAATGTCCTCCTCTCTGTAGACCAGGTCCTGGAGAAGGCCATGGTGAAGTGCGTCCTGAAGCCCCTGAAGCCAGTGTTGAGCGTGGCGCTGCACGAGTTTCAGGTGCACAGCGGCATGTGGCAGGAGCTGAAGGACAACCTGTCTTTGTACAAGGCCCGGCAGCCACAAGAACTGGGTGTGGCCGACACATTGCCCCCTGACTCTGTGGCCATCGACAAGATCAAAGCTAAGTTTCAGGTCATGTATAAACAGTACAACCCAGAGAAGAAGGTCACCACTCTGCTGAGAATCTGCAAACTAATCTACACCATCATGGAGGACAACTCAGGTAGAGATCTGACATTAACATCATGTTTTTACTGTGTTCTCAGTGAAATCTGATGTTTGTGTTTAATAAAATTAAACCTGAGGGGCTGGCCGTGTCCTTGTTACAGGTCGTTTGTACGGTGCTGATGAATTCTTGCCCATGCTGACTTATGTGTTGGCCCAGTGTGACATGCCTCAGCTAGACAACGAAATCCTCTACATGATGGAGCTGTTGGACCCATCGCTGCTTCACGGAGAAGGTTGAAACTCCATTATAAGCTCTTTTTACTCTGAACAAAAAGCACAATTCTTGTGAAAGCTAAGATTATTGACTCTGATGACCGTTACATTTATGTATGTAGGTGGTTACTACCTGACCAGTGCCTACGGAGCCATGTCCTTGATTAAGAATTTCCAGGAGACTCGAGCAACCAGAGTCCTGAGCTCCGAAACCAGAAACACGCTGCGCCAGTGGCACCAGCGACGCACCACCCAGCGCTCTGCACCCTCTGTTGACGACTTTCAGGTGAGTGCAAGCACACCCCCCAACCACACACACAGACAGCTATGTAGGTCTGATTCAGCTTTTGTCAGTCATTTTGTTGACCTGCAACTTTTGTTAGATTTGTTGTGAAGTGGTTTTTGTTGCAAGCAAATAATTTATCATTAAAATCAGCTAAATTTTGTTCTTATGATCAACAATAACATTCATCCATCCATTATCTTTACCTGCTTCTTCCATTTTGTGTCATGGGGATTGTCGGTGCCCATGTCCAGCAATCACTGTGCGACCTGTTCAGGTCACAAGTCCATCACACTTAAAAAAAAAAAAAAAAAAGAAAGTAAATTGGACTGTCTTTTTGACATTTTGATCACTGAGCCCAAAATATATGGAAATTATGGCTATTGCTAATACCAATATTGGGAGGGGGAGGCTACTGCTGATAACCGATATAATGTCTGAAAATCTTTGATCTTTGCCCACCCCCCAACAATCTAAGAAAACAGCGAGTGGAGCGGGTTTGTTTATTTAGTGCAGCTGTTAGCAACCACGAAGCTAAGCTAATCAGATCCACACTTTAATTATAATTAAATTAACTATAGTCACTCACTAGGTTTACAAGTGGTGCACTGTTCATGAAAACAGTCTTCCTAACGTTCATTCACATTTTCTATCCTCCACTATTCACCATAAAGTTATCAAGTGTTACAAAAATATAAAGTAAGCAAAGAAACATCCTTCCCTGTTCATTGTTTAAACAGTCAGTCACATATGGTGAAAGTCTAATTATTATTGATCGCAGCAGAGTTGATTTTTATTTGTAGAGAAGTAAAGATTTCAGACATACAATGCATTTCAATGAGGATGACAAAGGTAACGTTACTAGCACTGATATATTTTACCTCTACATTAGCTTTATTGTTCTGGGTAAAGTTTTACAAGGCAATAGCATGCTAGGTTATCAAAACATTGGCTTGCTAACTTGAGAGGAACGTAACTAATGACAAGCGGGTTGGAGAATCGAAGAAAATTTATTATTGATTTTTTTTTAACAGATCAGTTAAAATAAAATCACCATGCTCTGTTCAACAAAATACACTACACAGTATTGCACACTGCTTTGGTTGTGCTGAAACTGAAAGTTAAAGTTAAAGTGAACGCCATGACTTGAAAGTAGTCCATATGCTCCCTCTGCTGGATACACTGTACAATTATGCCTTTTGCCAGTAAGGACACAGCTTGTTCCCAGTGTTTATATTGGCACATTGGACAATTATCACAGATACCAATATGTCCCCAAATGCCTGTATTGGCCCTAAAATGTCAGCCCTAACGATACAGTGTTTATCCTAGATAACTTGCCATGGCGGGGCACTCATCTCGTCCATGATTTTTGTAGATGGGTGGAACAGAGACACATCTGAACTGTGCGCTGTTTGTACCAACAGTTTTCAGTGATGGTGAGGTGGGTTCAGTGTGAGGACCCAGCATGTGGGAAGAAGCAACACGAGTGCTGCCTTTAGCTTTTTAGCTAGCACGCCTGTATTGCGTGCTAACAGGTGGGTGGGTGGGGGTGCGCACAGTTCGGTTCGGTAGGTGAGGCGCTCGGTTCTGTTGACAGGGCAGGGAGTCCTGTTTGTATAATGGACACTGCGATATATCGGTTGGGCTGTAATTAGGACACAATTGAACCTCCATGACAAGAGTGGGTTTTAGGATTCGTGCACAACAAAACAAATCAGGAATGGTTAAAAAGATTTATTAATAAATTGCCACTGGTGGAGGTCTGGTTCCAGGCCCAGGTCTGATCTTCACAGTCGAGAGCAAGGTGTAGTCCTTCTGCTGGTTCTGAAGAATGATGACAAGAACTGTAAGTTGGCAGCAGCAGAGAATGAGAACACAGAGTGCAGTTTTGGGGGAAATCCAGAGAGAAGGTCCAGTGGAACAGGCTTGGGTTGAGAACCGTTGGTCAGAGATCAAGATCCAAATCCAGAGAATAATCCAGGAGACGTAGTCAAAATAATCAGAAGCTGGGTCGGTGCCGTGGTCAGATTTCAGAGTCCAGAACAGGCAAGGCAAGATGATGTCCAACAATAGAGCTTGACTCAGCTGTAATTCCTGAGGTTTATTCAGCCTGAGTGAAAACATGGTTTTTACGTGGCTGGCAAAGAATTATAGTCTGAATGCCAGCATCAGGTAACAGACAGCTGTGGACAGGATCCAAAGACTGAAAAAGGGTAATGTGCCACTTGGTTCCTTATCCACTGACACATTACCTTTTAGGTTGTGGTTCACCCCTCAAGTCACACTCAAATCTGGGCTCAACTACATAC